CAATCAACACAGCGGGCACAATCTGTCTCTTTGTCAGACCACTGTTAACAAACCAACACAAACTGGAAGAAACTCACCAATTAGCCATCTGTTAGTCCACATTCCAACAAAAATGGTTTGGTTTCACTGTAAAGCGTCCATACAATCCAATTTGAAGAAGTTTTTAGTCCAAAACAATTGTATATATGAATAAACATCCATGGAATGTAAATAGTAGCATTTCGCGTTAGCCGACAGCGCTATCACAACTTCGACGCACTAATGCTACGTTCACACCGGACGCGAATAGGGCGTCAGGCGCGAATGATTTTGTTAAGTCAATGCAAGAAAAATTCCTGCGGCGCGAATGAGGCGTGGAGCGCGGCGCGGAAGACGCGAATACGCCTCATTCGCGCGTCAAGTTGGCGCGAATGGCGCGAATTGAGCGTTGTGCATTCACGCGTTTGACGCGAATTCGCGTCTGCCGCCCGAGTTGAAAAATCTGAACTTTGGCGTGAATTCGCGCCGCGTTAACCAATCAGGAGCCTAGCTGCTTGCTCGTGGTGAAGTGTCTGGATGCTTCAATAAATTATTTTGTTAATATGACTAAATGCATGGTGGGATTATGCACAACAAAGCAAATGTTTCATCACTTAAAACATTATTTCTATATGGAGACATGTTCATTTTGTATTGAATGTTATTCATTCCATATCTAGAAATAGTATTATGTTGTAAAGACAGACATCCCAAGTCTCCCGGAAGTTCCGGGAGTCTCCGCATATTGATAGCGTCTCCCTGATGCCCGCAAATTAGTTCAAATCTCCCGGAATCTAGAGCGAGACATACTGCGCGCATAACATACATAGCGCGCTATATATATATATCAACATATGTGCATGCATACATTCGTGTCTGGACGTGAGAGAGAGAAAAAAAATCACAGGACAGGTTAATAACTTTTGAAGGCTGGCTCTAGGCTATTATTATCAAAACAAAAATAAATGACAGCTAGATTAGATGGATGAGGAGGGGCGAGGGTGATCCTCGCTCAGATGCGGGACAACAGGTCATCAAACTGGGCGCGTGACAGGCGGAAGTACCGCTGACAGCGGCCGTCATCCAGCGCAGCTCCTGGAGCGAGCAAATGGTGAAACTCGCCAAACGGTTCGGCTCCGAAGGGTCCGGTGGACACAAATATACGGCGACGATGATCCCCACGCCGCTGTTCTGCTATCCAGAGTAAATACAGAGCGGTAACTCTCTTGATGAATGTTCGGTCGACATAAAAACAATGACCGCCAACGGATTTTGATTCTGACGCGCGTCACGCGCGTAAATTTCGCTTCAAACTTTACGCGCGCCAGTTTCGCTCTCTCTTTGAGTGACAGTTTATCTATCCAGTTGCAATAGAGAATGAAATGACGCTATTTTCTGATAGCCAATGAATTTCTGAAAAGACTGAAAATGCAGCTTTTGTGGAATCATCCGATTACATTAGAATCCGTGCGCAAAAGCGAGAGTGATTCTCTGCGCGCGTGTGCTTAAACACAACAATCATCACGTGACAGGCTGCGCCGCTAAACTGGATATCGCTCATATTTTTTTCTCCCCTCCGATCTCCGATCTAGCGTTCTGGGCCGGTATCGGCGCGATACCGATGCCGTGGATCGGATCGGGACATCCCTAATATTTAATGAACCATTACTGTAACTTCCACCCTATTATTAAAGTAATTATTCATTATTAATAAAGACAGAACTTTCTATTGAAAATTACAAGTTGGTGACAGCTGATAACGCCTTGATTAAATGTAAAAAAGCTGAATACCACTCATAAAATCATATAAATCAGTCCCTCGAGAAAAACACGATTATGTGATTGCATAATTCAATGCATAATCAGGCAAAATACATATTCATTTTTCAAATACGTGTTAATATATATAGGTCACTTAGTTACTTAGCTGCTACATGACACACTATCGCCTTTTTTTTGTTGTTTTTCACCAACAAAAAGTTACAAATCAAGAGGATCAACTACTACTTACTCGACTTGACCTCATCACGGTTGGGTTTAATAAAAAAAATGTCTTTGCAATGTGCAAATTCCATGGCTAGGCTAAATATTAAATATAAAATCTCTCATTTCATTATTTAACATCATTTTAATTTCTCAGTGCAAGATATTTAATAATTGGTTTTGTGAAAGCTTATAGTTGGTGATTAATTTATTTATCGAATTGACATGAAAACTGACAGCCTACTAATAATTAATTAGATTTTACTATGAATTAAATATCACAGATGTGAAAGTTTTATTAGAGCTTAAAATATATTATAATATTTAAAACACAAGAAGTTACTTAGGGACAATCAAGCCTGTCGTGTAATCACCATTAATAACCTTTTTTCTGCAAACACAGTGTGCAATGTTTTTATAGTTGTATTATGTCACTGTCTAGATCTATAACAATTAAGTTGATAGACGTCAATGGATTAACTCGCTTTAGTGTCAAATCAACAGAAACGCCAGTAATCCACAGAACATCGACATCAACTTCTGAAAATATTTTCTAAACCCAAAGTGAGAATAAAGCCAATTATACTAATCACTTAAACTAATAAACTTACCACCAAGAAGTAAGATCTTTTCTGGCAGTATCTTGCTCTGTCCATGACGTGGCGGCGCAGCTCTGCGTTGTCCTCTTCACTGCTAAATTGTTCGCGGGAGCTGACGACCTGGTAATCTGCTCGTGTGTTCTCTCAATATTAGATCGGTGCTATCCACATTCACTAGGTCCGAGTCAGTGAAATAACAAAGCAATATTTGGAAAATACATGATTTCTGTTGAAATATCCGAAGCTATAATGGATACCACAGACAGTCAGTATCCGCTGTCTGCGCCCCGCCCAACATGTAAGTTCAAATGGCAGTGTGTGATTGGACAATTGCCGGCAAGCTTGTTTTGAAAAGATTGGCTCTGATTGGTCCAAATGAATGCAACTGGAAATATTAACTAACATCCACAAAAAAAGAAACAACTCTGTTAATATAAACCTAACATGCTTATTAACAAGTTTTTTTTTTAATTAATTTTGGCTAAACAAATGTAAGAGTCAAGCTTTAAGAAATTTATTTTGTTTTTCTAGTATGTACACCTGATCTTTTATGTTGATGTGTGAGAGTACTGGTATTCACTTGTTTTGTGGAAAAGACTATTTGATTAATTAATGCAGAAGTATAGAAGTGCATTACTTGTTAGTCAAATTTTAGTGCTTTTCATAATTATAACAAATTAATTTAAAAAAGTTAAACCTAAAACACATAATATAAAGTGTGAAATACATATGCATTGAGTTAAGTGTTGGTAGTATTACAAAAAGTGTGTTAGTTTTTGGTATATTTCTTAAAAGCTTAACTGAGCACATATTTATAATTAAAGTGCTACTTCTAGTCTTTGTAGAAATATACAATTAATTTCGATACATGTTTAATTGCCTTCATGTTAGGAAGGGAATTAAAGGGACTTGAATTTTTAAACTTGAAGTGAACACAAAAAATACTTTAATTTAGCAACAAGTATGCTTTCTGTAAATACACTAAAACTTCACTAAAACTATGTTTGTTTTTAGCATATTTCTAAAAGTGTAATTAAGTGTATATTTATTAGCATTGCGTTTCTAGTAAAACATTTTTAAATATAATTAAAATATGTTTGTATTTAGCATATTTCTTAAAAATGTAATTAAATACCAATGTACTTCTAGTACACTTTTTAGAAACATATTTAAAGCATGATTGTCATTAGCATATTTATTAAAAATATAATTAAGCACACATTTATTACCAATGTACTAATAATATACTTTTTTAGAAATACATTAAAAGTATGCTTTTCTATAGTGTATTTCTTAAAAGTGTAATTAAACATATATTTATTACCAATGTACTTTTTAGAAATACATTTAAAGTATAATTATCATTAGCATATTTATTAAAAATATAATAAAGCATACATTTATTACCAATATATTACTAATATACTTTTTATAAATACATTAAAAGTATGCTTTTCTATAGTATATTTCTTAAAAGTGTATTTAAACATATATTTATTACCAATGTACTTCTAATATACTTTTTAGAAATACATTTAAAGTATAATTATCATTAGCATATTTATTAAAAATATAATAAAGCATACATTTATTACCAATATATTACTAATATACTTTTTATAAATACATTAAAAGTATGCTTTTCTATAGTATATTTCTTAAAAGTGTAATTAAATATATATTTATTACCAATGTACTTCTAGTATACTTTTTAGAAATATACTAAAATGCAATAAAATACATTTTTAGTACACTTTAAATAAGCATGTTGTAAATACAAATGTATTATAAACACACTATTTGTATTTCAAATATATTTTTAATACATTTAATACAACGTCTTTTTCACCTGGGTGGGTGAATCATTCCGGTTGCCATTTTTCAACATTGGAGATTTTCAAAACAATTTCCCCCCAAGTGCATCGACAAGTGAGTTGAAACTCATTATAATATGCAAAACTGTTGTCCACTCACAGCAGTGGGCGTTTACTTCCAAGTCTTCAGTGCGAGACGCCCATAAAAACCGAGCGTTTATGACATAGGCTCAAAATTAGGGTAGAAAATAGCCTATTACTTATTCATTTTGATGTTTTTGAATGCAAAAACCAAGCGAAGGTCACGAGTTGACCTCAGACAACAATATAATAAAATTTAAAAAGCCAGTTCATGACCCTCGATATAAAAACCATAAAACCACAAATGAAATGACGTATCTTCTTATGCATAGAAACACTCAAATATTATGAATATATAACACAGCATATGCATACGCACAAACACAAGCACATCTGCACCAAATGTCTGGTTTCATCTCTAAGGCTGGTGTACGATTAACTATTCTCCTGTCCGTTGTTGGTCTTCTCTAAATGCACAGTCAGGCAGCAGTCATTAATGTCACCATTAGTCTCTGTAAACCAAGCACAGCCCTGCAACGTGGGCCCCTTGAGCGAGCTCTGTGATGGGGCTCATCTCAACCAAAAGGCCCAGGTTACTATTGCAAGGCCATCTGTCTATTGCAAGGCCACAGCTACAGATTGCACATTAAACAAGCTGCCTTTAACACAATACTTTAACAAACAAATAGTGAAAGCACACACCATACCTGTATCTGTATTAGAGTTGAGCTCATCTGAATCAAATTCTACGCCATTATGGGCCTTGTGTAGGGTCATCATCATCTTCATCTTCTGTATCTTCAAAGCTTCAGCCATTGTTGTTAAACCTGCAATACAAAAATATCACGAATTAGTGAGTACATGAAACACTCACATCTCACTTGTTTCTCCCACGCAGCAATGATGTAATCAAATGGAGGCACTTCTGCTTCATGTGAGAGTAAACTCATGTGTCTTCAGAACAGTTTCAGCTGAGATCTTAACAATATTTCAAGCTGAGCTCAGATTTTCTATAATCAAACGCTACAAAAATGCAATAAGACAACATAATCCAAGCTTTTCCATTCAAATCTATTTTATATTGTATACTAGGGGTGGGAATCTCCAGGCACCTCATATTACCATTTGATTACGATTCAGAGGGCTGCGATTCGATGCTAAAGCGATTATCCGGTGTGACTACTTTGATTTAAAAGTACAAATGACCAATAAAGAATTAACGTACAATATATTTTATTAACATTGCAAAGAACCAACGGGAAAATAAATGTGTGCCTGAACTAGCAGCATCCCAGCTAACACAAATACGTAACTGTTACGAAATCTGGTGACCAAACTTTCGTCGTGGCGACGTAATTAGTTACGTAGTGGCAACCGGAAAAGTGTAATTCCCAGATACGTTGTTACATTGTGGCAATGTCGTGAAGCAATAGTTGTGTGTTGGTACTTGTAGTAAATTAATAATACAACAACGACCGGTACAGCCGAGTGTTTTTCCTCCTCTTGGTGGAAACATATCATGGCTTCTCATATTTGTCGTGTACAAAGCTTACACGTCCGCTTTTAACAAGGGTGTTTGAATTTGGCGCTCACCCATTGCGTCTCTGTTATGCGAACGGTCCAGGCACTGGCGTTACAAAGTTCTGTCTTTCGCGTTCCGTCAATATTACGTTATTATTAATATATCAAAAAATGTTTGGTTTTTTTAAATCGATTTTTGACATTTGTGAATCGATTCAGAATCGTCCACGTCCGCATCGTGATGCATCTAAGAATCGATTTTTTTCCCCACTCCTACTGTATACACTTCTGGTCAAAAGTTTGCAATAATCAAGATTTTTTATGTTTTTGAAAGAAGTCTTTTATGCTAACCGAGGTTGCACTTATTTGATAAAAAAATGCAGAAAAAAAAGGAATATTGTGAAATATTATTACAATTTAAAATAACTTTTTTCTGTTTCAATATATATCAAAATGTAATTTATTCCTATGATTTTAAAGCTGAATTTTCAGCATCCTTACTCCAGTCTTCAGTGTCTGATACACTGCTGCTATTTAAAAGTAAAAAAAAAAAATGCTTCTCTTTTTGGTCTTGAAAATCTTAATATACTGGTTTCAGGCTGCTAAGAGATGTGCTATTTATGAAGCACAAGTTGACAGTGATCGGATGTTATCCTCAGCAGAGTTTTATTCAGAGCAACTGGAGGGTCGCAGTGCGATAAGGGACCTGAAATAACTCTCTGTTAGCTGGACAGAGAGAGAGAGAGAGCGTATCATGGAAGTCATCCAAGGAATAGCCATCTGCCAATCAATCACTTTAAACTCCTCCTACTACCAGCAATTAGCCAGCCGAGCTCTGGCCTTGGTTACCCTGGATACCATAAAAAAAAATAAAAAAGTATTGATTAGTGACAGACGGTCAATGCTCTGGACAAGTGATTGATGTTAGAATTGCTGCCTCTCTCATTATAGTTCAGATTTTCCAACACTGCAACTATCCACTGTGCATGCGATGGTGTGTGTGTGTGCCTGTGTATTTTTGCATATGTGTTCGGGTGAGCGTGTGTATTGCATCTGACAAGGTCACGATTGTGACAAAGGAAAAGAAAGGTGCAGGTGATGCTGACTGCTGAGAAGGAGAAAAACAATGGACCATTAACGTGCACACACACAGACACACAGACCGGCATATTCCCTTAGGAGAGCATTGACTGCTCGGCTAATCGTGGCTTCAATATCTCTATGTAAACGCTGACTGTTGCATAATCTTCAATGTGGGCTCACGGGAAAATAATCTTCAGAGACTTGAGTTGTGTTACGTAAGCTGTTTGACAAGAAGGAAACCGCTCGTTCATGTGAAGTGAGACTGTCCTGAGGGAGGAATTCTCTAATGGTGCACCAGAAACAAAGCTCAGAGGTCACAGACACACACCATGAGAATACTTAAGATCATACTTGTTTTAGTAGTTTTAATGGTATACTTTTTGTCATTTTCTGGAGCTTTGCAATAATGTAATTCACCAGTCAATTTTGATTTATGGAAAAGAGCAGCTGGGACATTCTGCTAAATATCTCCATTTTTAAAATCATAGAATTTGGAATATTTCGAGTGAAATATTCCAGACAGTGAGAGAATGATTAGCCATATACTTGTATGTACTCCATTTTTTAAAATAAATTAGTACATTATTCATCAAGTATGTATTAAATTGATTACAAAAGATTTCTCTTTCAAATAAATTATGTTCTTTTGAACTTTCTATGAATCAAAGAATCATGAAAAAATGTACGGACACTGTAAAAAAATATTTTCATGATGTAGTTCAGATAATATTTTGAGTTTCTGGTGATTAAATTAATCTCCTTCACTGTATTAAATCAATTTTTCCATTTCAATGACCTTAATATTAAGGCAACCAGGGTTACTTTTTTTTTTAAAGTTAAACCAACAATATTTTTTTTACAGTGCAAGTTCTACAAAAATATTAAGCAACAAAAACTGTTTTCAACATTGATTACAGTAAAAAAAAAATGGTTTTTTTTTGGTAGATGTGAATTTTGTTAAATCGACCGTTTTCTTTTAAACATCTTGGAAGCTGTTGTGTGCATTTTAAGCTATTGTTATGGAAATCAAAAACTGTATTTTCTCCTCTCGCCCGTTTGGCACCAACCCCCTGCTGTCTGTCATTCCCCTGTCATAAACAATCCCAAAAATTCCTAAACATGCCAACGAGGCCATTTTGCACAAGTTGGAGATTAGAAAATATGAAAATAAAAGATTTAAATGAATTTCAAAGTCAAATTTTACTTACCAAACTTACAGAAACAAAATCCATGCTATTGTCACATACCTCAGATCCAAAAAGAAAATCTTGAGGCAATTATTATATAACATAGCTCGTCATCTAATACATATTTATCTTTTTTTAATGTTTCATATTGAAATACCTGAAGCTTGTTTCCGCCACTGAATAAAAAATACACAACGTAATTTGGATTTTCTTTTTAAATTTCAGAATTCTAACTATTTTTTTCTCAAAATTAGGAGTTTTTTTAGGAGTGCAATTCTGACTTTTTTTTTTACATTTTTTAAAAAAGAATTAAGATTCTGCGATTTTATTATGTGGCAAAAACAAGCTTCCAAACATTTGATTGCACAGTATTTCTGACAAACCTGAACACAGTTTGAGACATTGTTGAGATCACTTCTGAAGCTCTAAAGAAACATTTAAGAGACAGTTTTTTTTTGTTTTTCTCAGGCAAACAATCAGCGATGCATCTTTGAGATATTAAATACATTTCTGATTTTCTTATATGGAAGCAAACCAAAACACTGTTATGTCTCCAATGTGTTTGCTGGCCTGTTGTATCTTGCTGCTAGAACAGAATCATTGATTCACTCAATTGATGGCACCATGTTTTTTTACCTTACTGTCATACCCTAAACAATGACTGAGCACTTGGCAAATTAAAGCAAACTGCCCTACTCTCATTCCTAACGAGTCCTGACATCTGGCACTTGACGATGCCAAGACTGTAAGTGACATCTCCACGGTAACTGCTCAAACATGGCAGAATATCACCGCACAGTCTAGCGCATCCTCCATGGTGACCCCACAACTTTGTGTGTGTGAATGTTTATGATTTATGAGGATATGTACAATGACATGGGTGCTACACTGGTGATAGACTAAGCAAACGTGAGGACATTTCCTGAATCCTCATAATTAAAATGGCATGAAAAACATACTAAACATGTTTTATTAATGTTTCTTTGATGGTAGGTTTAGGTGTGGTTAGTGAAAGGGGACAGAATATACAGTTTGTATAGAATAAAAACCATTACGCCTATGGAGTGTCTTCATAATAATAGGTGCATCAACGTGTGTATGTGTGTGAGTGTGTGTGAGAGAGATTGTAAGGGGGGTTATTTTTGTGCTATTATTTTGACCACAGTGGAATGAGGCTAATTATTTTACTGTTTCTTGTATTGGCCTCATCAAGCTAAATAATTCCACGCAGTTATAGAGGAAAGAAATTCTGTGTAGATAATTTTTTTGTTAACTAAAACTACCTGAAATAAAATAAGGTCAGGTAAAATGACTAATACATGAAGAAAAAAAATAATTATCCTAAATAAATAATAACAAAAAAAAACCGTAATAAAATGACGTAATTTTCTAATTAAATAATTTAATTAAAACTTTATAAAAATTAAATCTAAAAAAAATAGTATAAAATACTATAATAATATACAAACAATACTAAAAACACTGCTGTGGTGTAATGGTATTTAATTATTTTCTGATCTTTACCCTGTAACAACAACAAAAACAATACTAAAATAAATCAAAATAATAATTTTAAATAATTATTAAAATATTATTAAAAAATATTATATTTATTTTAATAATAAATAAAGAGTAACAGTGGCACAAATCATGTTAATGCATGTGCATAATATATATTTATTTATATGTGTATGTGTACATGTATATGTGTGTATATACATATAACTATAATAATATATTAGGGTTGTCAAGTGATTAATCGCGATTAATCACATACATAATATATGTGGGTGCACTGTGTATAATTATTTTATATATAAATACACACGTATGCTTGTATATATTTATTATTAAATATTTATGCATGCTTGTATATATTAATTATGAAAAATATTTTCATGTATATACTGTATATAGATTTATGTATAATTTATATTAATTATATATAAATATATAACCATCGTTTGACAGCCCTAATATATATATATATACACACACACATACACAAAATCTATGTTTATCGTGATTAATGCCAAGGTACTTTGAATCTGAGCTGGTATTCCTTTAAAATTCAGCAGTTACTTTTTTAAATGACCAAATCATATATAAAAAGTAAATTACACTTTCCAGATTTAGCAAAAACAATTCAAAATTCTTTTTTCTGTTTTCTTTTCCTGAAAATAAGCCACAACTGTCTGAAAGTGGGAAGGACATGTCCTCTCCAGGTACAGTATAATGACTGCTACCCCCCTGATTCTGGCGGAAATAAGACATTTCTTTGGGCGGATTTCAGCTCATTTTTAGCATCCACCCTTCCCAATGTGATACAGTAGATTTGAGAAGAGAGGACGGGGAATGTGAGGCTTTTGGCCAGTGAGAGGAAGAGGGAAATAAAGAGGGATGAACAGATGGATGAGTGATCCCACTGGGGTGTGTCATTCATCACTGTCACCCGTAAAAGAAGGTGCATGAAAGATGACCGAACAGAGCGCAGAAAGGGAGAGAGAATGAAAGATGAGCAGAAGGACAGCAGAGGAGGGAGTGATTTAAGCATATACTTTTCATATGTGTTGAAGGGGGCTGTGAGTGAGTAAATTGAGGCTCATCTAAATTTACAGTGCACCGAACGTGGTGAAAAGCGAGCCGGGTTTGTGTACGGTTGGGTTTACCTGTGGGTGACAGCAGGGCTGGAGACAGAAGGCTGTTTGCTCTGTGGTGAAGGATTCTGGGGCTTTCTTGTGCACTGGCCCCATAGGAACGCTTTGGTGGGCGGCCTGGGCGAGAGCTGTGGAGGGTGTAAACAGACATCAGTATTGTGCCCATTATCAAGGACAACAGGGACAGACGAGAGGATTTCTCAGAGAACCCGGGAAAAATAGAAACGCATTAGAAGCAAATAATACAAAAGTATGTTCAATGCAATCTGCAAAAACATTTATTTTCAAGCATTCCAAACTTACATGGTCATCAGCACTGATAAGGTTTGCATTAAATTTAGCAATATTCCAAGAAAATATTTTACCTTTCTAATAATTATCAATGTTGAAAATTGTATGTACATACAGTGTGTATATAAAAATATTTCATATTTTTTAGGGCTGTGCAAAAATTAATTGCGATTAATCGCATCCAAAATAAAAGTCTGTGTTTACATAATATATTTGTGTGTGCTGTATATAATTATTTTGTATATATAAATACACACACATGCATGTATATATTTAAGAAAATGTGTTATTCATTTATAAAATATTTATATTTATATAATATAGATTATGTATTTTTATATATATACAGAATATAAGTGCAAAAAATTCTTAAATATATACATGCATGCATTGGTATTTATATATACAAAATAATTATATACAGCACACACAAATATATTATGTAAACACAGACTTTTATTTTGGATGCGATTAATCGCAATTAATTTTTGCACAGCCCTAATATTTTTGTAACATTATATATCTCTTGTACAAATTAATGCATCCTTGTTGAAAAACCATACAGGCCTTAAAAACCTTGGAACAGTAGCATATATACACTTAACATAAATATGAGAATGTTAGAGGTCTTCGTGGTCAACAATTTGAATGTTAGTCACACAAGAGCTTCAGTAAATCACATAGATATTTCAAAGGATTTATGGGGAGTATCAGAGGATAAGACACAGTTATGAGGTGAACATACCGAGGTTTCAGCTTTCTAACTGGACAGACATTATAACGGTCAAAGCAAGAAATTTATTCGGAGGGTTCGGATTCAGACTGTTCTGTATGCTTCAAAAGGGATGCTTTTGCTTTCTTCCCTTGAAGATATACAAGTAGTTTTAACATTGCACTTTGTCTGTCATCTGTCAATCATGGGACATGAACAACCCCCATAAAGCAACCAACTACTGATCAAATAAAGAAAGACAAACCCCTTCAAATTCAGTTGAAATAGACGAAAAAAAATAAACGGGGTGCCCAGTCAGTACGGGTAACAGGAGGAGGAGAAAGAGAGAGGACAGCCAGTAGTCTTGCTTTTGTTTATAACTCCAAAGGTTCATCTCAGGGATAGAGGCACAATCTCTGAGCAGTCAAAGGTTAAAAGACACTGAGGGGCTTTTGCCCTGGAAGAATGTGGAAGAAAAAAAGAGAAAGACCTTTAAACAGAGGCCTGTGAATGACAGGGAAACAGACCGAGTTTAACATCCCTCCTTTGATTTATGGTAGTCGATGACAAGACTGTGATCTCTCCTCTGATAGAGCAACAATCATGAACCCCTATGTGAATAACAAGAAAAGGACATTGACGTACAGTGAGCAATGAACCAGTGGCATTTTTGGGAGCACTTTTATTTTACAGTGTCCGTGTAAGACGTTACATAAAATTACTATAGTAATAACTTAAAAAATTATGCATAATTATGCAGCTAACCCTAAAACAAACCCCTCATCCTATAGTTAATTATTAATCCGTACTCTTTACTCTTGAGATGGGCTACAACAGCAGAAGACCCCACCGGGTACCACTCATCTCCACTGCAAATAGGAAAAAGAGGCTACAATTTGCAAGAGCTCACCAAAATTGGACAGTGGAAGACTGAAAAAATGTTGCCTGGTCTTTCTGTTGAGACATTCAGATGGTAGAGTCAGAATTTGGCGTAAACAGAATGAGAACATGGATCCATCATGCCTTGTTACCACTGTGCAGGCTTGTGGTGGTGGTGTAATGGTGTGGGGGATGTTTTCTTGGCACACTTTAGGCCCCTTAGTGCCAATTGGGCATCGTTTAAATGCCACGGCCAACCTGAGCATTGTTTCTGACCATGTCCATCCCTTTATGGCCACCATGTACCCATCCTCTGATGACTACTTCCAGCAGGATAATGCACCATGTCACAAAGCTCGAATAATTTCAAATTGGTTTCTTGAACATGACAATGAGTTCACTGTCCTAAAATGGCCCCACAGTCACCAGATCTCAACCCAATAGAGCATCTTTGGGATGTGGTGGAACGAGAACTTCGTGCCCTGGATGTGCATCCCACAAATCTCCATCAACTGCAAGATGCTGTCCTATGCTATTAGTATGGTGTACCTAATAATCCTTTAGGTCAGAGTATACTTGAAGCCTGAAGGTTTGCGAATTAATAGTATTTTCTGAAGATAATATGAAAATCTATCACAATTGTAGATAATTGTGGATGGTTGCCAGGGTGTTGCTCACTACCATAAGTCTTTATATGGCTAGGGTCCCTCCCTAGGGATCTTTCATCTTTTTTAATCACTTTCTCCTCAAGCTCTCCTCAACAAGCCACACAATTTGCAGAATTATTCATGAGCGTAGTGTAAACGGTGCAGGGTGTGTTATGCGCTGAAATGTAATACTTCGTGTCTTAAAAAAGCAAGAAAAATCCCGTTTCTCTGATATGGCCCCTTTGAGATCCCCAAATATTAACACAGGCTCAGCAGCAGTTTAGATTTGACAGATATTTAGTACATTTAACCGGCAATGAGATTTTGAAACAATAAGGACTGTTTATTGCACGCTTTAATTAGTTTGATGCCTAAAAGAGCCACAAGCACATGTAGAAGATTCCCACCAGAGAGAAAGAAGAGGGCGAAAAAAGCATTTCCACGGCAGTTCAGCTGCTCATATCTCTCTTTTCATCCTGGTGTGTAATGTTTATACATCCACTAACCCGCTGTGTCAGCCTAACAGGAATGTGTGCAGTGTGTGTGGGACGGTGTGTTGATGTACGGGGGTGTGAATGGTTTCCTCTTTCTTAAAAGCACAGGCAAAAGGAAGAACGCTGTTTACAAAGCTTACAGTAATGCAGCTTTGGAGACGCTCATTCATTGATCTCTTGATACCACTCCTCTCTTTCTCTCGCTCTGTCTTTCTGTGCACACACACGGAAACACAAAAAAAGCTAATCCAGATCTACTGACAACAGCTCTTTTGTTCTGTATTATCAGAGAGAAAAGAATCCCTCTCTTTTAGTGAACGACGGGATGAGCCGCTGATGGAAGCGATGCAGTCATGCAGAGGTCACTACCGCGCACAAACTCTCATAAAAATGACTGAAGCACCGATTGTATGGACTGGAAACACACTGGCTAAACAAGCCCAACAAGCCAAGAAAAAAAATGCCAAGGTCAGGGGTTTGATTCAAACATCAGAAAGAGTGCATGTTTAACCGTACACCAATTATGACTGGGTTTAAAATCATTTAAACGTCATGTAAACAGCTTTAACTGCACCATAGTACTTTTCAAACATTTTTTAACATTTTTTAGTAAAACATTATATGCACAAAGGAAATCTGTATGTTGCAAATGCAATATAGTTATATTATATTTTCTTTTGAAAAATGTGAATATAAATTAGCAAAATATGAGCACCCCACCAATTCTGGTCCCAAAGTGAGATTGTGTTTTTATACTGTAAATCACAATATAAGATTTTCCAGGTTTTTAGTCTAACTGTGGGCAATGCATTTTTTTTAAATAATTATCTGAAAACCCTGAGTGTTTTAGTATTTTGTATGTAGCTTAATTAATGTATGAAATAAATTATTTATTTAATCTATTCCATTTATGCATCATCTATTTTAATTGAAAGGACGATATTTTCTTAATGTTTAATTTGATCGTCGTGTATAGTTTTGTTTGTGAAGCCAAAGACAAATTCCCACAGTATAGTGGACAATAAAGTATTATCAATTATCTAAACACGCTTGCTCACATGCATTCAGGGCTATTGTATGAGATCTTGAAGATATTTGCTGTATTATCAGGACAGGAACACTAAATAACTAAATATTGATGTTTTACTCTAGAGTGTAGGTTAAATTTTATTATATTATTACATTTTATCAAAAGACACCCATAACTCTGCATAAAACATATATCAGACCACACCCAAGAGCCTGTTACTATGGAAACCTTTTCTCAATCAATACTCTGTCATCGGCTATGATTGGTGGCAGATGGAGGACAAGGGAGGATTCCCCCAGAGATCAAAGACATATTATTAAAGCTCAGGCGCGCGCGCACACACACACACACACACACACACACAGAGAGAAGGTAGCTCTACTATTTATTGCCATGATAGATATAAAACAGCTGTCATAGCCGTTGACCACAGGTCTCACTGAAGTTCCTCTTTTCATTCATAAACGTTCACTAACAATAACTGTTAAGGTGGAATCTCATGGAAACATGTCATGTAGTAAACGAGTCACACTTCACCCCAAAACTAAAAAAAAAAAAATAAAACATCTTCAATAGGGTATTATTGTTGCTGTCGAGCGGAAACCTTGTATCTCGATCTCTATTTATTTTATTTTTTTCATAAATCCTTACTATTGGTTAAATTAAAAAGAGCTTGTGACTAAACCTTTTATCTCCATTTTTATCTCACTGACGTTAAAATAAATCAGCATATTTCTCCCAATTTTAAAACTACTACAGTACACTGTAAAAATTAATATGCTTTATCTAATCAAAAAAATTGTGGCAACAGATCACAAGCAATATTATTAATTACATTTAACAAAGTAGAATTGAGTAATAATGAGTCAAATTAATTCCTTAAAAGTTAACCATTTAAAACTAGTAAAACTTACAACAACCAAAAAAACATAAATTTAAGTCACCAATATGGTGATCGGTGTTTGTTTGTTTGTTTTAAAATTTTGGTTTTCTCCTTCAGTGATTCTGCTTGTTAAAATCAGGTGTCTTTAATGTTGGCAATATAAAATAAAGAGTTCTTAATTAATCTTTGACA